ACTTTACAGCCTTAAGACGAATGCAAATTCCTTTGTGTATGAATCCTTCCTTGGTTCTTTACTTAGACCAATCAACAAAAATTAAAAATCAAAAATTATAAATGGAGATGTTTTGCCTGCATGTATGTCTGTGTACTGTATGTATCCACTGCCCGAAGAGGCCAGCGTTGGGGACTGGATCCTTTGGAACCCGACTTGTGATCTGTCATATGGGTGCTGAGAATTGAACCTTGATCTTCCAGAAGAGCAGCAAGTGCTCTGAACTGCTGAGCCATATTGCCAGCCCCCAAATTATTAAGAAAAACGGAGACAATTGAAACTATTTGAACACTGATAGCTGATAATGTCAAGGAATTTCCTCAACATTTTGATATATAAAAATTGTACCTCAAAAATCTTTTGTAAAAGAACCTTGTCTTATGGATATGTAGTTACAAATATAAATGGAATTATACGATAATTGAGATTTGCTTCAGAATAACCTGACCATAACTAGAAAGAAGACAGGGTTAGAGGGTCCAAAGTTGATTATAAATGATAGGTTGTAGATAATATTAGTTTACTTGCCAATTCTACTTTTATACACACATGGAATTTTTCTATAATTACAAGTGCAGTATGAATACGAGCTGCAGTTTAGCTATTCAAAAGGCTGATGCAGGAGGACTATAAATTCAAGCTCATCTTGGACTATAGAGTGTGTTCAAGGCTAGCCTGGCTAGCCTGGGCAAATCAGTGGGATCCTGTCTCAAAATAAGAAATGCAAAAGGGGCTGGGAAAATAGTTGAGTAGTAACAAACATGCTTATCATGTCTGAACATCAAGGCTCAATTTCTAGTAACACACACAGAAAGGTCAGAAAAAAATTACTTAAACTGTATGCCATGAAATCAGCCTAATTTGAATAGGCTTTGTCCAAAAGGGTGCTCAGCGCTGAATGTTGGTTGGCTTTAAGGTGAAAGGTGAGGCAGGAAGGCCTGGTGATCTGGGTGAGGGAGAACAAGAACAAAGACACAGAGAAGCACAGGAATGGATGCAGCATGGTCTCTGGGACAGCTGGATGGACTCTACTGGGGGGGGGGGGGGGAGGTGAGTGCTCTGGCATATGGTGGGCTCTGATGACAACAGCCTAAGCAGCATGCCTGTGCAATGAGCCGGTAGGAGCCAGCATGCCTGTCATTTTATTAGCAGTGCTGGTTGAACAGACTGGAATCCATACTGAATGTGTTGGGCACAGAGCAAACATGGGTTGAGCTGATGCTCTTTGGAGAATCTCCTTCCTTCTTTACAAGACAAAGGTGGTCCTGGGTCTTGCTAATGGCCAGTGGGACCTCTCCTACTTAGTCATGTTCATTTACAAAAGAGCCAGAACTTAAAGGCTCAAAAATGATGATGGACACAACTTCCATTGGGCCCATTTTTCTTGATAAGAATCAGTTGCATGGCCAGCCCCGTGCAGGGAAAGGGGACCAGAGCCAGGGTTGCCCTGAAGCTGGGTTCTCTCTCCCTTCTCCTCTGCGGCTTGATGCGTGTCTAACCCACTGCAGTCTCACTGGTGTGTACTGTGCTGTTTGGACTTCTCCCTCCAGAAATGAAGATATTACTGTATTAATTTGACAGGTAAGGAAGGGGAGAATCTTAAGCGGGGAAACAATTTGCTAGTGTCCTGTGGTCAATAAAAGATGAGAGCGGGATTCTCGTCAGTGCTTCTGGTTTCTTTGATCTCTTTTCTCCTCCTGCCTCTCCCCATCCTCCTCCTCCTTTGTTCACCTCTCCCTACCAACCTCTTGAGACAGGGTTTATCTGTGTAGTTCAAGCTGGCCACAGACTCACAATCCCCCCGCCTCTATTTCACATGTACTGGGATTACAGGCCTGTCCCACCTCCCTTAGAGGTACTCTGGTTCCAAGCTCAGCTTCTCTCTGTAACTTCCCTGCCCTCCAGGATGTCGGGACTCCTTTCTTCTGGGATAATAATAGGCTGTTTTGTGATTGGTACTCTGCTGGGTGGGTGGTCTACCTGCATCAATTGTTTTCAGTCCTTTTCATGTTCTCATAAAGTAGGCACCAGCCTCTTTTCCATTTTGTAGATGGGAAAATTGAAGCCCTGACTGTTGCAGAGTTAGAAAACAAGAAATCAAGATGTAAATCCTAGACTAAATTTCTTGGGCTACTTCTTCCTTAGTTGAGACAGGTTTCAGAATTCATCTAAATGCAGGCCTGGGAAAAATCAGGAGGAGGATTTCCATTACCAGTGCATAGGGTCTTTACACTGGGGTCCTTTCTCTGGTTGTTGTATTCACAATGCATTTACAATATGGTAGGCTAAACACATTTTAATTCATCAGATATCCATAATGGTTCTGCAATAATTATTCCCATTTTATCAATGGGGAAACTGAGGCATCAGCCAATATCATAGAGCTAATGAAATGGAGAGCTAGGGGTAAACCCAGGCAGTTTGGTACTTGAGTCCATGGTCTTGATTACAACATTGTCTCATGTCCAAGCCCTGAACTTGCCTAACACCTGTCCTAGACGGTTTGGGCTGACTTGGATTCCGATATCACGAGGGCAAATTTTAATGACTGAAGTAACTGGGGACAAATTTGATTTACCTTAAACTCCAAGGCAAGTATTATGAAGTTGCTCAGTTCAACTTGAGTCGGAAATGCATTGTAAGGACTGATTGTGCCTCTTCAATAGTTGCAAACGGAGCAGAATTACTGAATGCGCGGAGATAAATCAGTTCCCGACAGCACTTGGTAAGTGAGAGTTTAGTGCTTAGTAGCCAGCTTTGGACTCTACTCTGTTCACATCTCTTGCTTTCTATCTTGAGCCTGCAGCCCACTGCATACCACCCCTCTGCTGTTCTAACTTCTTCATTGCTCTACCCGACTCAGTCCACCATGTGATGCACACTTTTCCTCCCCGCTTCAAGACTAGTCTTGTTCTCTAGCCTTCCTGTGATTTGCTTTGACCAAGGAAATGGGAGCCAAAGTGGTGGGAGTCGATTTCAGACGGGATTGTTAAAAGCCATTATGAACCATGCCTATACCTCCAACAATGCTCCAAACGCTATCAGTTTTCTGGCTTGGGTCCTAGAATGAGGCAATCCTGTGCAGAGGTCTCAGGCTACCCCCAAGTTTAAAATCCTCATTGCTGTGGCATGTGGAATTGTTTCTTTGACAGTATATACAAACCTAATGAATGGATGTTTTATAAGATGCTCTGCTGTGGTCTTAGGTGAGATGTTCCTCACAGGCTCATGTTTTGGATGCTCACTTCACAGCTTGCAGACTTGGCTTTTTTGAAAGCCCTAGGGCCATTAGGAGGTGGGTCCCGGTGGGCGGGAGTGGATGCTGGCAGTTGAGCTTTTGAATGTTACACCATTCCTGATGTTGGCCTCTGCTTTCTCTTGGCCTGTTGTGATGTTAAGGGGTCTCTGATACATCTTCCCACTACCAGGAGCTCAACCCTGCTTTCCTCAGCTCGATGGATGAAAGTCCCTATGAAGCCATGAGCCCAAGCAAATCTTCTCTTTGTGTTTCTGTCACGTATTACTTCCAAAGTGATGAGAAAAGTAACAAGTGTGCTTTAATTGGAAGAAAAATCCATCTTGTGCTGCAAAGACATGCAGTGTCTTGACTCAAGGTCAGACTTCATATTGCGCCATATTGCCTCTCCTTTCTTCAGCTTAATATGCCTTCCTGGGATCCCTGATAGGTGTAATCTCCCTTTCATTCCAGGTACATTTTACATATTGTTTCCTTACTGTCCACTATGAAATATTCTTACTCCCTCTTTTGCCTGGTCAATTTCTACCTATGACACTGACTTGTGAAGAGTCATTATAACTGCGTTATTGAGCTCATCTGAGTGATATTTATTTTGTCTACTAAACCATGTGGCTCAGAAGAACAGGTAAGATTTTATTTACTGATTAGTCCTAGCATTGGCATAGTTTCTGGCACATAGTAGGCACTTTCCCATCATCAGTATTTGTTGAGTAAGCAGTGAACAGAATCAAGATGCTATGGTGATTACAGGAAGGAAATTGGCACCTGAATTCTTGGATTTGAATCCCACAGAGATGATTATTCTTTTATGACCTCCATTAATGAATCTCTCTGCTCAGGAGCCTCATCTGTGAGAGGATTAAAAACTATACTCATCTCACAGTGTGGCCTCAAGGTTAAAATGGATTAAATGTGCCCCCCTTATTTATGTCTCTGTTTGCCTAGTTTACCGGTTCCCACTCCGCTCCTGAGGCTGGGGCTGGCATTTTCCCTGGCTCTATTTCCAGGCTCTTTCTAACTGACTAACTGCTATTAGATTCCGCCAGGGAGATATACTGATGGGGACCAAGAGGAGGCTGGAGAGGAGAGAGCTTCCTGTCCACAGTGAGGCAGCAGCAGCTACAGGTGTACGGCATTCTCCAGGTGTTTCCAGCATTCCCAGCTGCAGCCCGGCCTTGTTGGGCAGAAACCTCACCTCCCTTGGTAATTCTAAGCCCAGTTGGTCCTCTTCTCCCAGAGGTTCTAGTTCAGCCAAGTAGTGGTCCTACTCTGATGGTGTCCTTCTCCCCTAAAAGATCCAAGCATCAGCCACGTGTGTCCCACCCTCATCACCTAAACTCTTGCTTCTTTGGCTTCTCCAGATCTATGGCTGATGGCTGTGCCCTACAATTATACCATCCCGGGCCATCTAGAGCCCCTCCCCTCATGGGACCCACTTCCTGACTCCTGATAGCAATAATAAATCGCAGAAAGAAAGCACACCGGGCACACAGGAAGCTCCAGGTGGGTGTGTAGCCTCGCATCTGTCCAGGCTGGTAGAAGACCACGCTCTCCTTGGAGCACTGTGAAAATCCCCACACACATCAAACCCATCAAGGATAACTCAATGCTGCCGTCAGAAAGCCCCTCCGTTGGTGAAGTACCCACAGCTCACCCACCCACTAAGGCAGGATGCACACAGCAAAGGAGGACATGACTTCTGTAGCATTAGCAATTTTTTATTTTTCCTTTTTGTTGCATAGGAAATGCAGTACTTGCTTCCAGTAATTGTATTGTAATGTGAGAAGGTGATAGCACTAACGGTTGAATACAAGAGTTAAACTAATCCACACCAGCTCAAAAACCCTGTGGAGATTTAGTTGATAAGAATGGACACCCACAGTGATTCTCAACCAATTACAAGTTTTCACAGAACACAGTAAACGAAAAGGGTAACTATGAGAGTCAATACAAATATGCTAGAGGCACAGGGGGGGGCCCGGCTCATAAAAACAATTTCAGACCAAGTTATTAACACGGGGCGTTTTGTTTCACAATAGGTCTCTTTCTCCATAATTCCAAGTATTTAATTCTTCCCCCCACAATTTGAAATGAAAATCAGAGGCACTCTGAGCAGACAGGTTTTCATGTGTGATGGGAAAGGTTAGTGGGAGGGGCAAAGAGGAAGCATGGACTTAGCCTTGACCGTCTTCCTAAGGGCTTAGTGGGACCTGCTGGCACTCCACGTCTAGTCTGGCTGGCATCTCAGTAGCAAGGCTGCTGCGTCCGGTAGAGACACAGTGGCCTGAGGGAGAAGACAGCCAGCAGCTCCCTCACACCTGCATCCTAACATGGCCAGTGACCTAAGACCTCTAGTTAAGGATGCCAACAGATTAAAAAAAGGCAAATTTACAGACCATTACCAAGAAAAATCATTAAAAAACCAGCTTTAGGTTTTCTGAGAAGCTGAGGGTTGAGCAGCAGGAAGAATGGCCTATTCCTTGGCCACCACTTGCCTTTGAAACCATTGCAGAGACAAGAAACTTCACATTTTAAAGTCTGTGATACTCTCTGACAGGAACTTGCTCTAGTGAGATCACAGGCAGCACTTCTCCTGTGTCCTTTTGTGGTCCAGACACATTTTACAGAGTTTGTGTTTCGACCCACACAGCATGGTGAGTCCACATGTAGGTTGCCTGACACACAGAGCAGGTGTCCTCTGTGTGCTCTATCCCCATGTTAGAGTTCTCTCTTTGCCTTCTGGGCTTTGCTGGGGTCTATTCCCCATATCTTATCCCTTTAACTTGATGACTGGCTTAATGCGATCAACCCTTTGGAGAATGGAAAGCAAATGGGTGCTTGTTCAGGAGGAAAATTAAAAAAAATATATTCAATTTGGGAAGCAAGTAGTTACAAATTTAGACCAGAGAGAGAGAGAGAGAGAGAGAGAGAGAGAGAGAGAGAGAGAGAGAGAGAGAGAGAGAGAGAGAGAGAGAGAGAGAGAGAGCGCATCTTTTTAAAATCCCGTGTTAATAGCAAACTTCTTTCTTATGAATCGGGCCCAAAGTTTGTACAGAGTTATAGTTTTGAAGAAAATATTGCATCTGTGCATGTAACTAAATAGCCACGTGATTTCTTACGTTTGTTTTCTTTTTAATACGAGGAAGTCTGGTGTGAGACGGATCAAGCATGGGCACATGTCCGTTAAGATGCTTCAGTGTCTCCTAGCTTCTGCTGAGGGTCAAGAAAGTGAGTCTCACTTGGAAATGTTCTCAGAGTGGTTTTGCAGCAGAGTTCTTGAAATTCAAACGGTAGTTTTGAGACAAAAATCTCATTAGATACTGATTTCTGAAATCAAACACCCATGCTTGTCCCTTAGGAGAAACAATAAAACAACAAAAATGAAAACAAAACACACATAATACTGAATTTAAGTAAGTGTACACCTCCAAGATCCTGAAGACAGCCGGAAGGAAGACAGAGTTCGCGTTCTCAGTGAAATACCTCAAACCTAGCTGACAAGAACCGAGGCAGAAAAAAAGACTAACAGAACTTGGAGTAATAGTCATACAGTTCACTAAGCATTATGGAATAGCATGCATAATATTGTACGGTTATTTTACATCACCTATACCAGAGGTCCTGACTGACAGACAGCGAAGGCTACCGGTGTAGAAAATCTTACTTCAGAAGAGCAGTATAATACAGATTTCACAGGCACTACATTTTAATATATCAGGTATTATGCTGGTTTTCTTATAATTCTTTCTGTCCTAAAGCTGGCATTATAACAATGACCAAAAAGGCAAGGATTGAAGTAAACGGAAAGTAGATACCAAAGTTGATATAGTTTTCTTTTTCTTCGGATAGATTAGTGCATAGTTCTCATGCAGATAAACACTGCTATGCATTTACACTGTTGGGAAGCAGAGTGAATTGAGCCCAAGTTGTCACATTTGTGTAAATCATTTTGTCAGCCTGTAATAGCACCATGTAATGGATTTGCATTAAACATTAAATTGATTTCAGAACTGGTGACACAGTATTCACTACAGTTAAGTGCTATGGAATAGCTTCAATATACCTGCTATATATCAAAGCAATTTTCATCCCACTGCTTTTTTTATTGGAAAAAATAAAGGGAAAACATCCATGACACTAATTAGACGAATGCACAGCCTTGGACGTGGAGAAGGCAGGGGAGGATCACTGTCAAACAGTAAGTGCATGCATCGACGTCAAGACAAAGTGGCCTCAGAAGCCCATGGAAGTGAAAGCCATGCCCGAAGGGCGGAGCAGCCTCTGGGACTGTCTAGGAAGGTCTGGCGGGTAGGCTGGGAGGCACCACCAAGCTCTCCTCACTGACCACACTTCTCGTGTTTTACACCTGTTCAATGGAGGCCTGCTACCAGAAACCGGAGAGAAACAAGAAGCAAAGGAAAACCAGGAAGACAGAGACACACAGAGAGAAAGAGAGAGGAGGAGAGAGAAGGAGTAAAGGACAAGGGACGGAGTGATAGAGACTAGGGGAGAGGCTCTGTCATAAAGACTATCAAATGACATTCTGAAAAATCACTCTCCACCAAAAGACTAAAAAGATTGCAGGAGAAAATGCTTCTTTGCACACACCTCACGATATCACTGTAGAGGTTGAAGGACATGAGGATAAAGACTTGGGAAGGTGGAAGACAAACATTTTGAGATGGGTTTTGCATATTCCTGTGGGCTGACTGAATATAGCACAGTGTGACGAGAGATTTGGATCCTGCACACTTGGGACTGTCGGGAAAGGAAAAGGGAAAGCTTGGAGAATGCAGCCTGGAGGGCCTGGGGGAGCCATCTGGGTGGTGGTGGCACTGGGTGGGGAGTGAGCTAATAGACGTCCTGCCGGGGGCTGAAGAGATACACTTTAGTGGGAAGAAAGGGGCTGGAGGGCGAGGAGAACGGCACCAGAGAGGACTTCTGCCTGGGAGAAGTTAGCAAAGGAGCGCTGTGGTGGCCAGGAGAGGGGCCAAGGGCAAGCGTTTATTGGAGGGTGTTGAGTTAGTGTTTGTGCCTCTGACTTCAGTTCCCAAAGGAAAAAAAACTGGGGGGAGCCATTTGAGGGACCACCTTTGCCAATTGTGTTAATGCCATTTGATGGGAGAGGAAAAAAAATCCAACATTTCTCAGAATCAAGGCTGGGCCTTCAAATGCTGGTAGCTCTTGAGTGAGTCTGTCTGTCTGTCTGTCTGTCTGTCTGTCTGTCTGTCTGTCTGTCTGTCTCTACACCCTTGTAGTAAAGTCCTCCTCAAGCAACTTCACTCAGCTTGTAACCTAAAATGCAAAACACGTGGATTGGTTGGTGTTTTGCTTTTCCTACTTGATGACAACCAGACTGTAGTTTCCTGTGACTTTCTTGACAATAAGCGTGAACGGAACTGGGACGCGGTGTGTGTGCTACTGAACCCTTGTTTTCTACCCCCCTGCGCTGCCTCCACAATGGGTTAGAGCCTTTAAAACATTTTCTTTCCTGCAATTCTGTCCAGAGTTCCCTAATTTTAGCTTCATCAAATTTAAACAACAAAACACCTTCAAAAATACAGCACACCTGTAACGTCCATTTTGCAATGGTTTTTCAGTAGACCTACACTTCTCAAGCATAGGAATATGCTATACCATTGGCAGAAAAATAACTGTATTTAAATACTTACAAAAAACCAAACAAACAAGCAAAAAGGAAACAGGAAAGTTTTAAACTTAAATCCAGTTCCCAAAGTGGGTTGAAAAGAAACAAAAAGCAATTCTATGAACGCTGCCTTTATAATGAACAATCAGAAATTTCACTAGGCTAATTTGACAGAAATTTTTCCTCATTTAGACAACATTACAAAAGTCCTGCATTATAAAATAGGGTAGAATAAATCAGTGTAATCAATAAAACTATACAACGATACAAATTACATATCTTCTGAGTGGGCAGTTTATCCTCTCTCTTTGCAGTCGTGACTACAACATGCTCACTAAAAACAACTAAAACTGCCCAAACTATTGCTTAGTTTGTTTTGTTTAAAAAAGGGTGCAATTTTATTGTATATACAACCAATTTACTGGTAATACCTTGGCATTTTGCAAGGTTCTGACAAAATGTTTGTCTAGGCTTTTTTCCCTTCACTGTGAAGCACTGAAAGCTGCTATTTTTCTCTCTTTCTCTCTCTTTTTAGTGCACATATGTCATAATAAAGTAATGCCCAGCTAAGTGCTATGCGGAAGGCAAAGTATGCTGCTGGCTATGGGAAGTGACACGGTACACTGACAATCACACCATACAACAGCGCCAAGCGACTATTCAACCACTTATCAGACACATATGAAAATCCAAAATGTTTTATTTTATTTTTTTTCCTTAAATAGAGATAACCAGTAAACAATTTTCAGAACTTGGAAGTTTAAAAACGTGCATATAAAAATGGGCATTATGTACTTTTTATTGAATGTGGATTGACTGCTGTCTGCTCAGAAAAGTGGGTGTGGGGGCTGAAGAGAAAGGAAGTTGTCTTTTTTTTTTAAGGCTTGCTTGTGAAAGGAACAGTTGTAAAAACAAAATTGCTTCAAGCAGGGTCAGCTTAGTGCTTCACAGTTTGACTGCTTCTCTAAGAGGAGCCCTTCCTGCGCACGTGCATCAAAAACCACAGAAAATACAAAGACAGACACCTAAAACACTGCGTCAAGTGCAGCACTGACTTTGGTCAAATAAAAAAAAAAGAAAAATTAATAATTGCTAAGCTCTTCTACATGATATAAGCAGGTATTGCATATTTTCATATATCTGGGGGAAAATAAAGGAAGACTCCAAACAAATTGAAAAAACGCAGCAACATCCCAAATACTGATATTGTAAGCATCTACAGAGCTCAGAACAGCACTGCCACTGACCACACAGGACAGTCAAGACTACGCCTGTCTGCAGAACAGCTAACTTTCTATTTAGATCTAGATATTGAAACTGACGATGGCTGACATAAACGTTAACATTTACAAAAAGTGTCTCCGAATGCTTGAGTAGGGAAAACCCCTTCAATAGAGGAGCATGTGCAACAATTCCACAAATAATCACTATCCAGGGCAAGGCACATTGATATGGAATTTTTGTTTTCGTGCAAATTAAGGAAAAAAATAAAAACAAAACAACATCGTTTGGGGGTAAAGATGAGGAGCAAAGTGTCTTCCCAAGAATTTCAGTTACTTGATTGTATAGGACAGTAGTTGAGCCCTTCTGAAGGGCTGAGACAGTTTAAAGGCAAGCGCCTAGAGTGGGTTACAATATTGTCTTAATGCACTCTACTTTATCCTACATTAGCTATATAAAAATTAGTTACTAACACTAGAACATGCAGAGACTTCCTCTGGTCAGCACGGTCTGCCAACCAGAACACATATATATGTATAGTAAGGAAACCTTGAAGTTGCGTGGGAAGCAAGGGGGTGCTTCGCTGTCTGGTAGAAAAATCACTTGCATTTTTTTTTGTTTGTTTGTTTGTTTCTGCTTTTTTTTTTGCTCTTTTTTGAGTTTTTGTTTTTTTTTGTCTTTTTTTTTTAAACATAAGATACAAGACATTTGAAGGGGGAGGGTGTGAACTTTTTTTTCGTTTTCCCTAACGAGTGCCCTTGATCGGAATGGGCACCAGCAGTTGTGTCCCTATCGGTGTTGTTAGTATTAATTTTCCCATAGCCCAGTTCAGGGTTTGCAAAGGGTCTTTGAAACTTCTGGACAATGTCTGGTACAATGAGGCGTATGATAACTGATAGATCTGGTGTTGTCATACACATGTAAAAATTTCCAGAATTGGCATAATTCATTATAGTGATTTCTAGTTTATAAAATTAACAGATACCATGATTTCATTTGAGTTATGTGCTTTGATAACAGAAAATAATTAATTAGCATTTAATGTAGTTAACATATTGTGGTAAAAGCACCATTAGATTTGTATTTTTTTGTTTTTTTTTAATTTTCCTTCAGTTTTTTTTAAAGGGATACAAGTTTAATAATAAAAAACATAAAAAGCAAAAATAGCTCCCCTTTTTCTTGCAAGGCTGTTTTTTACCCCAATAATTTAGAGTCCTGGGGTGGAAGGACTTGAAAAACAAAAATAGAATTTTCAACAATCTCTATCTTACAAAGATACTTAGCTATCCAATGAAATTGCACTTCACTCAATTCAAAATTCGATTGTTTTGATTCCTGTCAGTTTCTGTTAAAACAGACCATCTCCCCCATTTCCATGTGAATTTTTGTGTCATTGTTGAAATTGTTGAAAAAATTTTTTTAATGTAAGTGCAGCATTTCAAAACTTAAAAAAAAAACCAACAACTGAGAGTAGTAGTCTTTGCCGTCTTTTTGGAATTGTTCTGCAACATGAGTGGGTTCACTGTCCTTGCGGGCTGTGTGTGTATGTAACTGCTGACTGCTGAACCAAACCAAACGAAAAGAAAGATCAACGCAACTGCATTTTCTTTTTCTAATATGTTACAGAAAAAAACAAAAAAACAAAAACAAAAACAAAAAAAAACCATTGCCCTTTGAGTGTCCTGTAAGTTACAGATCACAGATCTCAGCTACTACAAAAGATTTCATTCTCCAGGCGCCTCCGAATGCTCAGGGAGGGTCACACCTGTGTGGGCAAATTCGTGAAATACTGTGAAAAGGCCAGGCTCGCAAGGGAAGTGTGTTACAACAGGAAGTTAGTTAGTGAGCAAGTCTCCTGTACCAGCCACTTCCCCCAATGCTCACACCACCACTGAAACACTTCAAATGTCACACAGCCCAACCATTTCCAGCACCATATGAGAAATTACGACAGTCCCTAAAGTATTAAAAAAAATTCCCGAAAGGTTATGGCCTTTGCTGTTTGACCATGATGCTTGCTGTTTCCATGTCCAAGTTGATCTGAGTCGGTTTTTCTCCCCTTCCACTGACAGTGAAGTTGTAACTGCGCTGGGTTGAGGTTGCGTCCATGTTACAGAGTTGAGAAGGGGTCAGGTGGTCTGTCTGGTGGATGGTGGGACGCTGCAACTTTTATCCCAGGTACCAGGACTGGAAGACAAAAAGAAATACATATATAATTAGAAGTCCAGGTGCGGTGCTGGGATTTGGCTCACGGGTAGTACTTGTTATTATGAGGAAAGCCCACAATGGTCCTCAGTGCACAAACACAAAAATGTTCCATTTTGTAAAACTACTTTGAAAGGTGCCCTTTTAACCATGGGATCAGAATTGACCTTGGAGGTTTAAGTGGACAAGGAATGACAGATGATAGTAAATTCCAAACCACTGAAATGTGTCGTATCCCTCAGACATTCAAACTCATTGTCTTTGCTGGGGTTTACCAATGTCTTGAGAGTCTCTTAACCAAGTGAAGGTTTCCTGGCCACATGACATTCCCATCAGGTTTTGTAACCTAGTAGTGAGCAGTTATAAGACAGCATGGAACCTGGCTATCTTATTAGTACCTAGCTCAGTGACTGGGCAGGCTCAAGAAAGAGAATCAAATTAGATGGGAAGTGGCTGGAGAGTGAGGTTAGGGGCATAGTGATAGTTATTTCTAGAATTTTCTCAATATGTTTTTCAGTGAGGTGTAGATGCTAAAGACAGGTGCTAAACACGTGACTATAACATTCTGTGAACACGCCGGATGGCTGGCGGTGGCAGTCAAAACAGAAAAGTCCAGCGGGAAACACTAGATTGGTGACCTGGGGTATGGGGAAGCCAGAGTGACCTTTTTATACTCATGATGGAGAGTTTATGGTGCAAACTCAGCTTCTTTTCAGCTGGATATAGCTAATTTCCTATTTTTATCTCTGAAGAGATGTATAATAAATAAGACTACACCGTATAGAATAGCACCAAGTTCAAGGAGAAAATGAGGCCACTGCTTAGTCCTCATCCATGCTTCTGCCCACTCAATGTACCCTTGGAGCTGTCTCTCAGCTTTTGGACCTCGCCTTCAGTCCCTCTCATAAATATCCAGGTGACTATTCTTATGCCTTTGTCAACAAAGAAAGTTAGCTAAACAAAATGACCAATTATAGACCAATATCAAAATTAGTTTCTCAAGTGAAGTTAAACAGTGTATGACTCTTGCTAACTTTCCCCTAAGTACCCTGAAGGTTCCCAACTTTTGTTGGGAGTCAGAAGGCCCACCAGCTTCTAGGCAAAGCTAAGGGCTGTGAGCTCTGCACTGACAGTATCAGCTAGGGTTTAAGTCAGAATGGATTCCAGAGAGTTAAGGCTCACTCTTGTCAGAGAGATTCAATTAGGGAAAGTCGGGACTCCTTTGATCCCAGGGATAAATGGCTAAATGATAGCTCCATGGAGGTTGGTATAAGATTTCCTGGTCACAAGCAGCTACCTTTGATTTCCAATGAAGCTTATATATATATAAAACAACAACAACAACAAAAAACAAAACAACAAAAAAACTCTCCTCAGCTAAAAACACGAAACTCCTCATCCTGTAGACTCGTAGTAGTTCTGTCTGACCGTGTCTTTGGGGAACACAATAAAGTTGCTTCTACCTGGAAAGGAAATCCCCCTGGTCAAGTGCACATGCCCTAAATCTGAGTGGACAAAAGAAAGAGGAGTGAGAAGGAGGGGAGGGAGGCAGGCCCCAAACTGCATGTGTTTTAAGTCTGTCCTTAGAGCTGACACTGGTCCCTTTGCTCATGCTCTCTTCTACACAGCAGCCTCCGACTGAGTGGCCAGAGCTGCTCAGTGTGTTTGCACGCTCTCTAAGGCCCTTGTGAAATTCCGGACTTCTGTACTTCTTGATGCAAAGGCCTGGGACCTGGTGAGTCAGCAGGGGGAGCAGTTTTCCGTGCCACTGTTTCTGGATTCAGGACACTACAAAAACCAGCAGTGCCCTGTACTTCTGTTAAAAAGCAAAGCAAAGGGGGGAAAAAGTTTCTTCACACATCTTACTATTCAGTGTGTGCCTCGCCCACAAGGTTACCCCAGAGCAGCTCTGTAACCCTTCACTGAAATAGGCTTTATTGATTGCTCTGGTCTATTGTTCTCTTTTCAAGTCCCCCAAGTTCAAGTTCATCCTGGTGTTACATCATGTCTGGTTGCTAAGAGCAACCAGACAGACCCAGACGTGACTATCATTAGCAAGAAACCCTCTGCTCTCCTCCCACCAACCTTCCAGTGGTTCTGACGTAGCAGGCCCACTGCAAACACACTGAAGTATTTATTCTGCCTAATTTATGACCTACCCAGCAAGCTAGACCCCCACTCCCAAAACCAACACTGTTGTATATTTAATTAATCTGTCTTTCTTTGGCATTTGAGAAAGTTAGACAAAGGACTAATTATTGTGTGTCCCTCTCCACACTTTTCGTTTGGGGGGTGAATATTTGCATGGGAAAGAAAACTATGAGGCCTGGCATTGGCCCCTCCCCTTCTTCTTTTTGCCCTATTGACATTTCATGGAATACTTTAGCTGCTTAAAGGAGTTAGGAAAAAAAAAAAACCCTGTGCCCGTGAATGTTACTCCTTCTGAGTTGGTATTCAGTAACACAAATCAACTCATGACATGTTTAAATTTAAATGCTAACCACACACTCTCAGAGTTACTTTAAAGGTTAGTTTTTAATCAATAGAAGTTGCTGACTCTGGGTTTTTGAGCTGCAGACTGCAACTCTCGGCCTTTTGTCTGATGTTAAAGCTTGGGAACTTTTTTTCCTTGAGATGATTTTAGCAATGATTTGCAGACACAGAAGGGCTATTGTGCGCCTACCAGCAACATGTCAATAGAGGAGGGAGCAGGCCTGTGGTGGGGTGTCAATATGACTCCTAAGGCAGGGGTTGGGGGTCTTTAATAACCCGTGAAAAAAACCTTAATTAACCCTTTCAGGTCCAAACCAAAACCTATTCTTCCACTTTTCACTCCTGTAATTTGACCATTAGTACTTATTTCAACATCACACTAATCTTCATGACAATTAACCCAGCTACTTGACCAAGGGCTTCCAGAATGGGAAGTGAGTTAGGGGAGCCACACAGGAACTTTTCTTCTTTTCCCTTTGTCTCTCTCTCTCTCTTTGCTCTCTCTCTCTCTCTCTCTCTCTCTCTCTCTCTCTCTCTCTCTCTCTCTCTCTCTGCTCTCTCTCTCTCTCTCTCTCTCTCTCTCTCTCTCTCTCTCTCTCTCTCTCTCTCTCTGAATGAGGTTTCTCAGTAAACAATCTGCAGGAATATAGTAGAGAAACAGTTGGAACAATAAGACATTCATCTGCTTTGCCAAGTTTTCTACCCATCAGTTTGTAGTTGAAGACACTGCTAATGGTGATGAGTGTGTGCTCACCCACACAGAGGTGCCCCGGATTTCTATAAACCGCTATCATGGCTAAGGTAACACCAGGAGAGGCCATTTTTCTTACGATATTTTCCTTTAATTTCTGCTGTTTGAAAACACTGCAAGTTTGAGAATGCTCACTACAGGCTAACTCTGCACCTTCCTTCTTGGGACAGAAAAAAAAACAGAGAAGGAATCTGACACTGGTAAATTCTTGGGTTGAATCAAATCATTGGGAAAATACTGGCACAACGAACCAAGACTCATCTGTGGAGAGTCAAAAAATCATCGTCAGATCTGACTCCGCTTGGGTTTCATGTGGCTTCGGCCTCCATACTTTATAGTTCCTTAATCTGCCCTACTGTATCCAGGCGACTACAAAGGAGTCTCTGTCCCTTATCTGCAGCGAGTGGCAATATTATAGTACAGCATCGGAGGATATTATCTTGATACATTTACATTGAGGAAGTAAACACTGGGCTTTGATCTATTTTTTTTCTGCAAGAACATTCAACTATAGTTGATTTGGTGGCCCATAAATCCACACTCCCACAAAGGCTCCGGTTTCAGAAAATTAGCCAGTTACATTCTCAATGTCCACGGTTTGGGATGTACCAGGGGTGGGAGGGAACCCGTCCTCTTTCAGTGTTCAAGGTGAAACATCAAAAGAAATCTGCACTCCAAGACAAGAGCTCGGCTTTCCTTCCAGCCGGTCAGATGGAGAAGTAATCTCATCAGGTTGGAAAGTGCTGACTCAGTATTTAATAAAGTGCCTGCAGATGTGGAGTCTCTAAGGTATTCAACTCATGTAATGCAAAACAGCTCCGTGCTGAGCGGGCTTATAAAATTTCATTTAACCATTGCAGCACAGTTCTCTGAGGAGTTTTATCACACGTCCCGCCCCTTAATTTACAGCTCCATGAAAGTTGCAGTCCCATTCTGTGGGGATTCTGGAATGTTCACAGTAGTCAGGATTTACGAACCATAAACAGCCTCCATCCCACGGTATCCTAAACAAGAGGGCTGACATGGCAGCCGGCACTGTGGCAGTGTCTGTCCGTCTCTTCTCTTGTGCCTCCTTGTGAGCAGTTACAAAATGGAGTTGGTCCTGAGTCTACTGAAGATGGGCAACAAATTCAATGGACACAGCCCCTTGTCAACAACCAATACCTAACTCATACAACTTCTTATAGAGCCTTTTACAGTCTCCCTTTCTACTTGGAGAGCAGGGCACACATTTTTAAAAATAAAAAGGAAATAGGTCTGAGTTATATTTCACTTGGTGGGGGGGGTTGAGGGGTGCTGTGGAGGGCAGGACAGACTGTGACGGCAGAATCTGTTTTTCAAATTAAAAAGTTAAACAAAAGGCCTCAAGGGCAAAGTTTAATGCTGAACGGAAGGAGGTTGTTAATGTGGAATCCAGAACTGGGTGTGACTCTTAGCTTTCTTCTCCCGGCAAGGTGGGTTATTTAAGGACATTTACACATATAAACGGAAACAGGAAAATACAGGAAGCTCCCCCCACGACACATCACTCCCTACCAGCCCCACAAGGAACACAGCAAGCGGATCTACATGAGTACAGCTACCATTTTGTCCCTTGTGATGATGGACCACACTAATCCAGTCAGTCATTTTTTGGCTTCCTGTTCTTGTTTGCATGGAGTAAGCCTACTATTTAGCACAAGTGAGTTGTCCTTGGCAAATCAGCCAAAAGCCTGGGGGGCCCACCCCATGTCTGATA